AAGGAGCGAACGGGAGGATAGATAGGACGGAAGAGGGAGCGAGATGAGGAAGGTGGAAGAGGGAGAGAACGACTCGAGGCCACTGAAACCAGCTGCATACCCGGCCATTAGAACTCCGCACGGTAGTGAAAATTTACTGTCGTAACCCAGTCCTAATGCACTGCGCGCACAGCTCTCGGTAACGCCGCCGCTCCGTTGCAGTTATGGACGTTCTGTTAGCGGTGCCGGCTGCGCGCCCGTGTACGTGCGACTTGCATGTATACGCGAGCGAGCGCACTAAGTCGCTTGACTGTGTGGCCCGTAGGTAGGTAGGTAGGTAGGTATCTACCGCTCTCCGGTACTCGAGTAGTTGTACCAAGAGCAGCGGTGTCATGCAGCAATGTTATCTGCCACCCCGCCTGACGAGAGCCGGGGAGAGAAACAGGAAGCGAGAGAGCAGAGCGCGAGAAGAGAAGGACGAGAGTGCCCATGTGCCTCGCGGTAATGGCTTATATCCAGGGCTGTAGCGACTCACGGTGAACTTCTCCGCGAAAATGCATTTATTTTATTTCTTTCTTTTTTTAGACAGGTCAACAATCAGCTTAGTTATATAAAGTAATTTAAAGTCGCCGGATATTTTCGGTTCGAGTTCTTTATAGAATTTAAGATCGATATTTTTCTAACGAAAATATCAAGAGTCAATCGTTAAATAGCTTGTTAATTGAATCATTCGATAATAATGGAGTTGAGAAAAATTCTAATACTGTTGCTCTATATGCGGGATATAACGCGGCCAAGTCTGAAGACAGGTGGTCGAGTGCGGAAACTTTTTTACGCGCGGTCCTGATTTCCATCTTTCCATTCCGAGTGTTTGCTCGGAGAAAATTGCGAGCGGTATAGCGGTGATACAGATCGTATTGTTACGTGTGCGAACGTGTGTATTACGGCGGGTAAACACCAGACGATGTAGGAAACTTTAGCACAGACCGCGAAAGATGGAGCGTCATTGTAGCACTGATTGCGAGCAAAAGCAGCTGCATCTGTGAGATCCGCTTATATCGTCGATAAAACGCATCGTCGCATTTTTTTAATAATTATTATTAAATGCACGGGATATTTCGGCGACGCGAGACATTTATATTTCAAGCCCGGCGAATTTCCGTAGATGAGATCGCAACGGTTCATCGAATTTTTGCCCGTGCGCACTCGCGCCGTGTGGCTGTGGCCGTATTTTTCGTTACTTTTTTCATCCCCCGAAATTCCATTTCGCAGCAAATGATCTTTTACACCTCCCGCACGTCGCGCCTGTCGTTACCGACGGCCCTGGGTGTGTACCGCGCCGCACACCGGCAACCTCACATGGTGGATGCAGCCGCAGCAGCGGCCGCAGCCGCAGCCGCAGCCGCGAAGCTGGCGGTTATTAGCGTCCGCCAGCAAAGTTGGCTGACCGGTTGACCGTCGAATCGTCCCAGTAGTGGCTGCTGGCCACTGCTGCTGCTGCTGCTGCTGCTGCTGCTGCTGCAGTCCCCTCTCGGCTACGCCGCTAGTTACACGGATACTACCATCGCAGCCGCTAACGCTGCCGCTACTACTACTACTCCTCCACCATCATCGTCGTCTCTCACCACCGCCGGCAACAGTCTCGCTAAACTCGAAATGGCCAACTGTCTCGTCCCTACGGCGACATTCAACGCGATCCCGCACATCCTATTGCGCCTCTTCGCCTCTATCTCTTACGTCCTATCGCACCGAACTTTCGCGGCTTAAAACCGACATGAGAAGAAAATGTTGAGCTTTGCGGAATGCCCTGGATACGCTATATTACTAGAAAATTTCTTGAATTATACCAGGCATTTGAATCTAGAACGCGTTTTTCAATGGAACTTTTTTAATCATTCAGATATATTGCTCTGAAAAATATCTTTAGTAATTTTAAATACTAATTGTACATTAAATTTCAATTAATAATCGCTATTTGGAAAATAGGTACACTTGACTCTAATTGCTTTTCATTTCTTACTAAATTATTCCAAGCACGTATTATTACACCTCACATTCTTTTTCTTATCGTGTTTTGTTCATGATGTTGTATTAGGTTTTGCGCTTGGGGAGACTCGGTCCCAAGATGCCAATAAACCACTCCCTCGCTCAGTCAGAGAGAGTCTCCTGCTCCACTCACGTCGATCGTAATACCGCGGAAGGTACGTACGTACGTTCGTGGTATCGCAATGAGGCCGGGATCGGAGTTAAGTCGTCGTTAAGCGCGGACATCGGCTATCATGATTATCATATCGCCTGCCTATTTGCGTTGTTATCGAATTCGCGAATGGATGGATGATCACGACAGTCCAAGTGTAATGTGCCGATTTAATGCAATGCTGCCATATGTATTTCTGCTTAAGAAAATAGAACACGTTACCGCAACGTAAGATAATCATGATATTCGATACTCGAGGTTGAATACAATTTACTTTTCAATTTTTAGCACAATCGATTCACCGATTCAACTATCAGCAATTGTCAACGAAGAAGACGTTCGAGATTAAATCGCATATTTAGTTTTAATATTATTAATGATTTTCGATACTGTTAGTAACAATTTTGAATTTTTGCATTAAGAAAACTAAGCAAAAGCAATGTGAATAATTTATTTTTCAATTATTAAATAAATCAAGCTTAAATTCTCCAACTTTAATTCTAAGTTCTAATCTAAATTCTAATTATAATATAACAATTTAGTAAATTTAATTAATTACATTATTTAAAAAATGTAATTATTTAATTTTTTTTTTAATTACGAAAGTATTCAGTTATTAAGTAATTTCGTATCTCAAACTTTTACGTTGTGTTTCACCTTCCGATACACAGTACACTAATCGCACGTGTTACGAACACGTGCACGCATGCGGCCGGCGATTCACTCGGGGCACTCCCTCGGCACTCCCTCGAGAACGAGACGAGGGAACGAAACAATCCGTAAACAAGCCACTACACGAGGCTCGTGGATGTATCGCTTCGGCGATTAGATTCAAGAAACGGTAGTAAGTCGTACAGATCAAACACGATAGCGCATCTCGCGAGGCGGCATCTCTTGAGCTCAATGATGGCGAAGCGACGAAACTAGGGGTCTTAATTAAATGCTGTTTATACACGGCGGGGAATATCATACAAGTATCTTCGCTAAAATCGCTAAAAACTGTGCCACAACTGAGAGAAAATTGCTAAAGATTTAAAATTTTTTGCTTTTGGAATATCGCGTATGAGCAAAGAACGGAAGGAAAGCGTGTATGTAAGAGTCCGCGGGACGTTAGGCAACGATAAATTGCGGTGGATAAACGCGATATACCATCTCGAGACGTTTCCGCGGGGATATGGGAAAAAGAAAAGCGGTAAACGCGAGCGTGGAACGGATAAAGAAAAATAGAGAACAAGGAGACGAACAAGCTGGACAAGAATAAGAGAGAAAGAGGGAGGGAGGGAAAGAGGGAAGAAGACAGAGAGAGAGAAGAATCCCGGTCCCGCTGCATTTGTTGCTGGGATGATGTTCCTCCTTTTATCCTCCAGGCGCGAGATATCTCTCTTTATCCGGATTAAGAGGCGAAAAAGGTCAAGACTTCGAGATTAATAATTTGTCCGAAAGCAACGATCATCTCACTGGCTGGTTTTTCCTACGGACGGCGCCTGTTCTTCCATCTAATTCTAAATGCCTTTCTCCCCCCTCATCTGAGCGAACCCTCTCTTGTCACCGATGTTAAAAATCACTAATCGGCCGATAGATAGAAGAGTAACGAAGAGAGAAAAGGATCCACGAAAAATACGACAGGTCGTAACAGATAAATGATATATGTATATTGATAAGACGATTAGACGTATCGCTCTTAGTAAGATGGGCTCGCTTTTAAACAATATATTCTATCCATTTTAGGGTTCTCGAAATACCTCGCTTTTTTCAGAAATAAAAAAGCTTTGATACCTACAGCCAAATATTTACGTAGTTCACCCAAAATAATCAAACAAGACTTGGCTATTTTTATTTTATTTTTGATAATATATTAGCGTATAAATAGAAGAATTATCTGTTGTCACTTAATGTTTCAATTTTTTTCTTCTGATTTAATTTATTTATTACTTTACTTCTTTTGTAACTAATTTGATTATTCTCAGAAATATTCCGAGGATTGGAATAAACTTTCGTCTCAATCGTATAATAAAATCGTAGGAAATATCGTGCGCACTTTACAAAATGTTTACAAAATGACAAATACATTAACTCGCCGTTCATAAAAAAAAACGTCCCTACTGCAAAGATTTTTAAATATACTCGTTAAAAAATCCATTTAATAGTTTGCAAGAAAATTAGAAATTTTATAATCACAGTTATAAATAAAAAATATTATAAGATAATTATATTCTAAATTTACTGTTTAATATAATTAATAAAAAGCATAATTTTTACAAAAAAATTGATCTCTATTTTCGTTTAAATAAATTAAGTCTTCTTTAACAGAATAATAAAGTCAATGTAACTAGTATAAAAATATTTTCTTGATATTTAATTCACAAAAAATTCAAATATTAACTATATTTTGATCGCTCAACGATAAGCAGTAGGGACGCAAAATCAAAATATATGAAAAAAAATATTTGTCATATAATAATAAAATTTACTTACCAGCTAATATCCTTTGTCGGTTCCGCCATTGCAAACCATTGGTTCCACCGTTGCAATTCATTGATTCCGATGTTGCTTCAAACAACACTTATGTAGCACTAATTATCACTTACGATCACTTATGTCCAGTCAGTCCGACACAAGCGAGTTTTACAAGCGCGATGCACTATTAATGCGAAATACGACACTCCCGATGCGCGATTACACATGAGATGTACTCTCGACCGCATAAATAATGCGAGACACGACGATCGTCTACAACTTTGTTCGACACTCCCGAGATACGTTAACCGCCTGTTACTTCATTCAACACTCACGACACTTTCGAAATACGATTAAAAAGTTCGAAAAAGACAGGAGTAACTTCATACCGATGCTCCAGATTTGGCGCGTCATGTCCGACATAATGGAACAAACCCAACGAATTTTACGAACGTCGAAACGCAAAGTTATAGTGACGTTACGCGTTAATTAACACTCTACAACGATTGCCCATCGCTGGATTCGACACTCATGACATTTGTCGCACTCGGATATTACTTCGAGTGAGATAAACTACGCGCGAAACGCGGACCGATATTCATTCGCGTCTAATACCGTCGCCATTATCTAGTGAACTGCTTAGACACTGCTGTGAAGTGCGACTCATGAAAAGGTCGCGCGAGTCAAGTTTAAAATTTGTCAGACAACTAACTTATAAATTATGACGTAGATCAAAAGATGGAAGCACCTTCGCACCAGCATTAGGTTTTCGATGAGTCATCCAATAGGAAACGCGACTAATTTTACAAATATCGAAAATCTGGTCATTGCGACCATATATGCGCGTTAACTAACGCTCTACAGCGATTGTTGGTCGTTGAATTCGATACTCACGACAGTTGCATTCGGAATTCACTTTCGAGTGAGGAAGAACACGCGCGAAACGCGGAACGATATTTACTCGCGTCCAGTACCCCCGCCATTACCTAGTGAACTACTAGACGAGACTACGAAATGAATCTCGCGACGTTACGTTTATCACGTGATCGATCACGTCATTCAATCACCAAAAATACATCATGAATTATTACATTGCCAAGCTGTGCACCTATTAATTGTTATCTATTCATCTCTCTCAGAATACATAAATAAATAACGTAAAACATCGTATATTTACGCCGGCAATTTATTTTTAAGAGATGAAGTAAGAGATACAAAGAGAATTATACACGACTTATTAATACGTATAAATATTATATATATTATTCATTATTAATAAATAGGAAAATTGCGTTCTTACTTGTACATTAAACACCCCAAAAATGAACGTGCAGTACTTCATAATGCTCGTAAAAATTGAAAGCACGTAGTTAAATCTGACATAAATGCCAATACTGCTACTTAATTATTGATAATTATTACACTACGACAATGATTCCTCGTTATTCGGCTTGACACTCCTCTTTATATTGTTAATTATTCGTTGCATTATATCTCGCAGCACAAAGTAACGGTCCTTACACGTAAAAAAATTTAGTTGTAACTGTAAGGCGTAAGCAAATCGACCAATCACAGTGAGCATTACAGCAGTAAACAAATCGACAGCAGTAATAATGCTTACTGCTGTAATGCTCACTGTGATTGGTCGATTTGTTTATTGCTGTAATGCTCACTGTGATTGGTCGATTTGCTTACGGTTACAACTAAACTTTTTTACGTGTAATGATCTTAAAGAACGCGATATTCTTCGCATTATACTATTCACATAAGTCAAATTACATAGATTAATTTTATACTCTTATAAGTAAGGCGACCGCGCATAAAGCTAACACAGAATTACTCAGTACGAGCAAAAATTTCGAGAAACACCAAATGCTTTATGCATTACCTTCCTCTGGCTCAGAAGTGTCGCGAGATAAACAAGACGAACGTCGCAACCAAAACAAACGTCGCGTAAACAAAACAGTACGTGAGTTGGGTGGCGACTTTTCTAGAAGCAGCGCGTTAAAAAACTCTATTCTAACGTTCGACATATACACAACATACATGAGCGTCGCTGCAGAGATATTATCATAAAAACGAAGGTAAGAAATATATTATACGTACATTTATATTTTGCGTACGATACTCTAGTTTTCGCTTGCAAATACACTTCGAATATGCCGATATGCTCTGAAATAATATTGATCGTATCGCGTTGTCTACTTGACTGAATATATACAAAATAAGTTTTAATATGTCATGTACGTGGTAATTTACGTAATAGCCGAATAGTGGACAAAAACGTCACAATATTGAAAGATAAAATTCGCAAGAATAATTTTATTATTTTTATCTTACATAATGCAGTTTTTCTAGTAACGATTAATATAATGAAACCAAAAAGTATTTTTATCCAATTTATGTTATATATTATTCATATTACATACATATACATATACATTTGATCATTGTTCTTTATCTATATTATAAATTTTGTATTTCTGATATAAATTATATGAAATTTTAATTAGTTATGTCCGTCAATATTTACGAATTATATTTTTTTCGTATTCTAGATTCATATCTTGATTACTGTATTTAGAACGCGTATCTTCAAGTCAATAATAGGATTACCGCTATTTTGTCCGTTCCTAACTTTTAGAAATATATTTCACGAACATTTTTTGATAATGAAAAGTCAGTAAATTGATTGAATAAAAACCATTTATTAACCAAACACAGTTATAAATTTTAAATTTATAAGGTTGCAGTTCTGAAAATTTGAGCCTAATAATGTGATCGTGTATGCAGTCTTAATAGTTTGTTGATCAATGGCGAAAGTGTTGGACGCGGGTAAGCATCATTCTGCGTATCGCATTCGTTTTTTTCACGTTCGAAATAAATTCCGAGTGAAAACAAATATTGTATATGTGCATCCAATGACGGATGATTATCGCAAAGTATTAATTGTATATATTATTGTGTACGGTCCTAATCTCTTTCTCTCTCCTCTGACCTGTTCATAAAATCAATCGCGCTCGTCGTGTCATGTCGAACGTGACTTGCCGAATCTAAAGTGTCGGTATGAAGTAAAGACCCTATAGGTCTGTTCTTTATAGCTGAACTGGCTGCACTAGGTCAGTTATAGAGAACAGACCTTTTTAATAATAGATTTCTGGTAATATAAGATCGCTATAGATTAGAATGCAATAGTATATATTTCTGTTTCTCTAGCAGGGTTTTGGGAGAAATCTTATGTCGCGATTCTGATTACAGGGTCTCTAGTATGAAGTTGCCTTCATCTTTCGCATTTTTCAAACGTGTCTCGAGAGTGACGGAAGTGTCGAGTGAAGTTACGGACGATTACCATATTTCGCGCCATTTTTATTCGTCGATTGTATATCACGCGTATACTCGTGCATCGGGAGCGTTGTATTCCGTTTTGAAAGGGCATCGCGCTTACAAAACTGCTGCGAAAGTGCTGTATGGATTGACTGGTCGTATCGTGAGTGATAATTAGTGCCGTATAAGTGTGTGTGTTCATGGAGGAATGGGATGCAATGGCGGAACTACACAACGGATAGCAACGGCGGGACATCAGGTGGTGAGTAAATGAGTAAATGATTAGTGCTTGTGCGATTTTACAAGAACAGGTTGCGGCGTGAGAACTGAAAGCCGGTTGCGAGTAAATAAACGCCACCGCGTTAGCGTTCGCGTATGGTGGGGAGCGATACCTACCGCGAGTTTACGTAAATCGTAATCACATTATTGTGTATCGTAATCGCATTAGTTTTCCGAGGCGGGGGCGCGATTAAACTCAACAGGAAATAACGATATACGGGCAAGAGGCTAGGGGATGTGGGTAGAAAATATTTAACCATTTCAATTTTCAGTGATCAGAGTACAATAATATTAATGTTTTATTATAATATTATCCATCGTTTTTGCCGTTACATAACCCTTCATAATATTCAATATTTCCAGAATTATTATCGATGTTTTACATCTGCATTACCACACGAATGCAACATATTCGTGAAAAATAATTTTGATAATTTTTGCCGAAATTGGAATCTCGATAGAAACTGAACGCCGCAGCGTAAATTGCAAAATATTCTTTAATACGCGTCCGATCCAAGCTCTCGTTTCGCCTCTAACGTTTCCCATATCGGAGCGTAGTCGGATGGAATTTTTGGAATCGCATCGGCATGCCGTCCTGCCGTGCTCGCCGAGCCACGAAAACCGAAAACCGCAGGCTAACGACGGTACATCCGAGAATTTTGTAGCGGCGGCGTCGTCGTCGGCGGCCACGGCACCCTCTTCCTCCTCCGCCTCCTTCTTCCCGGCGGTGCTTTCTCACCTGCCTACAAGCGAGAGTACACGACGGTGCCCTTAAACCGGAGGCATTGTATATGTACGCAACGTGTATTCACGGCTCGCTCGGCGGGACAAAAGAGATCCTACATCTTTGCGTGGCTCGGCATCGACTGGCTCGGGCAGACGCGGAGGAGTGCCTCGGTGTTGGTGGCTTCAACGCGGTTAGTAGTGGTGCGCTCGGACGCGTGTGTTCGTCGTGGCCGAGACGCGATTGGTCCGAACTGCGCGCAGATTGGCTGACTCGCCTCGACGACAGCACGGAGTCGAGTCCACGTGGACTCGTATATACACAGCTGAGACCGCGGACGGCTGTTCTCGGGTATCTTCTATCGCTTTCTCTCTCTCGCTCTCCCTTTTCTCGTTCTCTTTCCTCCTGGTCCTTATCCTCTCCTGCACATCGCGGCCGGGGATTTATCCTTTCCTTGCCTCTCGATTCCCCAATTCCACTTACTCCGTCTCTCGCTCGCTCGTTCGTTCGAAAGCAGTCTCTCAGCGGCGTAGCACAGCGAGAGAGATCCCTCGGACGAGATATGAATTCACGTTCCTCCTTTTATATTCCACGCTCGCCTGCCCTCCATTTTGCTTGCTCGAGCCCCTTGTCTACCTCGCCGATCTGCGACTACCGTATGTGTCGGCCGCACGGCTATCTCACTGGTTCCACTCTCTCTTTCTCTCTCTCTCTCTCTTTCTCACCCGCTCTTTCCGCCTGTATCCGCATGATCATGCTGTTCCGACGTCGTCGTCCGCTTTCCTTTTCCTTCTCTTTTCTCCTCTTCGTCTTGGCCGCCGTTGTCGTCGGTCGCCGTCGACGACGAACGTTTGCACGATGCGGTTAGTCGCTCGCGAAAAGTACGATACGGAAGAGGAGAGCAATCTCGGAAGACGGAACGCGTGTCGCGTCGCCTCGCGTTCGCGTCGCGGCGAGAGAAACGCAAAGAAGCCGATCCTCAAATATTCAACAACTCGCATATGTACACACGCGTGCAACGCGACGCGACGACGACTGGTAGCTATCGTTGCGGTTTGTTAGGCACGGTTCCCGCTGTCGTTCTAGAGGGTTACGCGATGTATGCACGCGCATACGTACGTCCTGCATCGGTCGTACACATGTAAGCACACATGTGCCGTCGGCTGTCGATTGTATACGTAGTATTTGATGTACTTTACATACCGTATTTAGGACACACGATTGAGATAAAGACGCCAATTCGAGAGATGAAATGGCTCGTTTGAATTAGAAAGTCTCGAGTAGCTTGCTGCGATATTCAACCTTAACTTTAATTGGAATTCTTCAAATATATAATTAGTATATCTGCGTCTCGTGTGATTGATGGTATACTGACACGTAAATTAAATATTATAATTCTAATAATGATTCACAATATCTTAGAGCGTAATTAAATATTGTAGCACTAATAATGATTCACAACGTTCTACAATGCAATTAAATGTTGTAATAATGATAGCTGGAAGTCGTAGTGTTGCGGTATCGAAGCCGTTGCTTTGGAGCTCGCTTCCACTCGCAATTAGAAAATCAGAATCGTTCGACTCACGCAAACGCGCACTCTTCAATCATCTGCTGCGTACTACGTGTCAGCACATAAATGCGAACCCATGTCACTCTAAGGCTTGTAAATATGACATCAGCTCTTGCGAGCAAATGCTAGTATTTCCTGTTTCACAGCTTAATGTTCCCTTCGTGACAATTAGTCTAAATGACTGTATACATACTCGGTTTGCTTTTACTCGTCATAATTGTCCGCGCACAATGTGTGCGTTCTTAGAAGGCTCGCCCTGGCAGGATAGTAAAGAGGCTTTCAGTAAAGAAGCTTTTAATACTACTAGTATCCGTGTGTATCCGCATGAGCAACGATTGGATCGGTTAACGACTGAGCGTTCGGGAAAGCCAATCTCTGTTCGAGGAAAAGGGAACGCGCCGATGGAGATAGCCGAAAAATTCGAAGGATTTCAATTATGCCGGACCGATCGGCCGGCGCGGTCGCTCCCGCTTCAATTTCAAACACGAAGGCGACGGCTCTTTCTCCCTCAAAATACCGGTGAATCGTTAAAAGCGCAGGGCTCTATTGGCCTCGCTCGTAATATTTCGCTGGTCTACAAATAGTCGCTACTTATGTTGGTCGCGCGAGAGAATAAGCCTTTCGAGAAGTTCGTGTAGCCGGCTTGCTCGCTCTACAAACCAGCGCGAGATGATCCGACTTTATGCGTTTCCGGTCGGATATACCGAGTACTTTAGACTTACCTTGGACATCGTTTATCCTGGGATTTTCCGACCGATTTGTATTTTCTTTCAAAGGTCGGGACATATTGTGGAAACGGTTGAGAACGAGAGACTTTTGAGAAAAACAGAAGTGAGAACAGGTAGTGAAACTTTTTTCTCACTTGACACGAGGTAAGTTTTATTTGAGAAACTTTGATAGGTGTATAATTCCCGGATCGGTTACAAAGATATACAACATGGAAGATTAACGATCTGACAATGAGACTAATAGCCCTCCTCGCGCTTCCACTAATGAAAAAAACCGAGAGTCGGAATTCCGAGAAAAGAATAGATGAAGGCCAGGCTCTGGCTACGTCCGGGACACTGTGTTCCATACGTACGAGTTTGTACGAACGAACGAATGATAGAAGGGTGATCGTTCACGAAAGCGTGGCTAGTGCAACGACACGCATCGGCTTGCGAGTGCAGAGCGACGTTATCGCCGGTTGCACACACCATGTGGCTGCGGTATGGTGGTTAGGGGCGGTTAGGGCAGTGCGCCGCAAGGGTGGTCAAGCCGCAAACGAGACCACCGTCCTAGCTATCTGCTATCTGGATAACCGCCATCGCCGCCGCCACCCTCTCTCACCCTCTCCTCTGCAGTCCTCCCCCTTTCATCCTCCACCCATCCCCTCCCCTTTCACTATCATCGTTTCCACCTCCGAGCGGCACATGCGACGACAGGTAGTCCGCAATGTCGTTATTACCGCCACCGTTTGCTTATCGCGCTAATTCTGAAGTCGAGCGTTAATTGCGCGAGCGAGCGATCGCGAGACGAGACGGCGGCTTAATGAGCCGCCGCGACCGCGTTCCGTCGCACCGATGTGTCCAATGCGAATCCGATGACGAAATTCCTCGTTTGACGAACGATGAACGACATATGTCGCGCCGCATCTTCGTTTGCGTTTTGATTTGGCGGGGCACTCCCGCGTTTATGCGAGAAAAGAGACGAAGAGAGGATCGACGAAGAGGAGAACGAACGCGTTCGGAATAACGGGATGAAGTGTGTGAACAGAGAGAGAGAGAGAGGGGGAGAAAGGCATGTTGGCGCGTTTATTAGTGTCCAATTGTGACGAAGAGGAGAGGAGAGGTGTGGGATAGTGCGAAAGCGAGCGCGTGAACTCGCTCATTTGCGTGCCTGTTAATTTGCCACGTTGTGTGCGCGCCGCGTCGTACCGTGCCGCAGAGAGTTGCCACCGACGCGACGGACAGAGGGAAAATTAGCTCTTTGTGTATGAGTGCCACCAACTGTTGGATCGCGTACTAGCTAGGCGGGTGCCGGCGACGACGACGACGACGATGAGGATGCGGATAATCATCGTTACCTTTGGTACGCGCGAATCACAACTCGATTTCAGCGCGGTCCTCTCTAAAGCGAAAGCTTTCGTACGAAGATAAATAAAACAGGATATTCAAAAAAAAAAAAAAAAATTATTAAAAATATAGAGAAATAGGAGGATTATACAATTGATTGTTTTTCGTATATTGTTATTATAAGCTTTTGTTTTACAAGCTGTCGGCATTTGCAACGCGACACGATAAGTTTACGCACGCGAATAATCCGGCACGAATAAACTGCGGTAATACGCTTCGCGCGTACGCGCCGTTGCTCGTCGTCGAATTAACCGTAATAACCGACGCATTTAGCCGCGATATACAAATCTCGCGGCTCCAATAGTCGCCGCCACCGCCACCGTCTCCACCACCGACCCCCGTCGTCACACCTCCTCCCTCTTCGCCCTCTTTCTGCGTCATCCCTGCGTCCCGTAGTCGCGCGCGCGCGCATGCCGCATATCATTACCATGCAAATACGTACGGCAAAGCCCGCGTAAAACCACTCTCTCACTCTCCCGTCATCATCGTCTCACCCTTTCGTCCCCTCGTCTATTCGGGCACTACGGCCAACCCTCCCTTTCCTCCTCACCATTCGGCCGTCACCCGGTCACATATGCAAAACGTGCCACTATTATAATAACATTACGCCGATGAACCTTCCATTGAACGCGCGCATGCATGGCCTCGCTAATTATACACCGGGTGGCGCGATTCGCATGGATTTGCGAGGCGATACAATCGTTTCGCCCGGTTATCGCTGCGTGTATTTTTCTCCTCCCTCTCTCTCTCTTTCATTTTTTGATTTTTTTTTGTTTTTCTATACCCGTATATATACCCGAATGCCGCGCGCGAGAGGTCGAGTTCGCTCCGATTTGTTTTCATGACAATCGCAAAACCGTCAGCACGCCGCCCGCGCGAGCGGCGGTGACCGCTCTTTTTTTTGTTTTTATTGGCGAAATAGTGTCGTAATTTTCATGACGATCCGCCGCCGCCGCCGCCGCTGCCTGCCGCCCGTTGCGCCGGCATGCAACTAAATATTGTTGATGCCTCTTTTTTGGCGCTAACAACATTCACGTGGATAGAGTAACGAGTGGTCCTTGTTTTTTATTTCCGCCGACACCTGCCCGCTGTATGCGCAACCCCGATTTTTATCGGCGTGCCGGCCACTAATCATTTTGTTTTTACCGGAACGACCGGTCATCTCGCTGTTTCGTCTCCCTTCCCTCGATTACTAGATTTTCACGTGTTCATGGAAGTCCCAAATGCCGAATTATGTCGACGCGTTAAAAAAAATTAATAGCAACGAAATGCGGTATTTCAAAAATACAAAGAGATATAACTCGTGAGATTTTGGAGTTGTTATCAGGATTAAATGAGATACAGTCTTATTTATTATATGGCATTTATTGATCGATTCTCTCGTGTTTTTTTTTTTATTTCGACGTATTTTTACAATTTTTATACCTATCCTCTCATTCTTAGAAGAAGTAAAAAAATATCACGGTGTACTTAAAACCTGCTATTTACAAAATGTACAGACAAAGACGGGAATAATTACAGTTAAAGAGCGATTGTGCGCGCGTCAGTAGAAACGGATTTCGATCTGGACGCGTGTAAAACACGAAACAACCGACAGTAAAAGCTGTAAGTACAAAACGGCTTTTTTCCAAGATTGCGAGCTGTGAACTTTGATAGCTCAGGTTTTAAATGTAAACCAAATATAAACCAATATCATTTCCATGTGAGACCATTTAACGACAAATTTTGTATTTACGAGACGTTCTAATCAATTTTCAAAATTAACTTCTTATGCCACTGATTAATTTACATAATATTCTAATATAAATATTAAAATTATTATTTAAATATAAATATTTTTTCATATATATTATATATATTGCAATATATATATTAATATATAGCAATATATATATATTATAAACATTTAAAGTATTTATACTGGAATATATGTATTGTTAGATACAAATTATCATATGCATATAAAATCATAGGTATATAAAAATTAATTTGTACATTTATTTTGAATACATAATTTAATGAAGAGAATATTAATATTATTTTATTTACAATTGAGAATAAACACAAAATTCTTTTAAACAATTTTAATCATTTTTTCATCTTAGTGAAAAAATATTTTCGTGAGCGTGTTATTAAAAGAAACAAATTTTTTATTTATTTTAATAGTCTCACAGGAAATAATATTATTGATCGCTATGTTCTTATTGTATACTGTTTACGTCATGTACTGCAGTCTTAAGTACATTTTTAGATTTTTCATTCTTTATTGCAAGTGTGCGGTTATTAAAATTCGGAAAATCACGAATCTTTCGTGTCCGTTTGACTCGGCCTTCGCACCGGCAATCTCACTTTCTTGTCAACGAGCAGATAACAACAACGATAACAAAAGGAACAACAACAGCGATATCACGTTATTCGACATAACGCTTCCGAAAGAACTCGTCGTTTCCAGGAGACAGCCAGTTGATAGCATTTCAGTACATGACCTCATAGACGGTGGCCTTCTTGTCGCCAGAACCGGTGACGATGTACTTGTCATCCGTCGATATATCGCAACTGAGCACCGACGAGGATTCCTTCGACTGTAAATATAATCGACAAACACATCGTCGAGTGAGCATGCGATAACATTTATACAGCGCGACAAGAGCGAGTAAGAAAGAGAGCAAAAGAAAAAAGGAAAAAAAGCGTGCAAGATAGAACGTTATAAAAATTCGAGTGTTGGAGCTCGTTTGCTCGTTTTATGAAACGTTAAAAACGTAAACATATTTACGAGCCGCTTCGTCAGATATCTATTATTATTCCGCCGCATCGAATTCCGCTCGATAACGAAATCGCGCGTTCAGCGAGCGATTATTCATTAGCTTTTATAAATCAGGCTTTTTTGCTTAGCGAGTCACGATTCGATGGCTCGGTTTATACCGCGTAATTATATAGTTCCTTAATGAACTGTTTCGCGATCGTCCCCAGCGCCTCGTCCCGCCGTCTTGTCTCGCGCGTAACACCGTGCTTATTCTCCGCGTGAAAGGTGCGAAGGTAATTTGTGTAATTTGCGCGTCGAACATGCAATAAGCGCGGACGGCTTCAGAATTTAAATGTCGACAAAAAAGTTTTGCTCGTATTTTCTTATTATTTCTAAGATACTTTTGTGAATGAATCAAAAATAATTATTGCGCACGGTTCGTATAGTTGAAAGAATTGGCATGCCTTTTAGATTTTAAAAGATTTCACGTGAATTATATCATTCCAAGACTTCTTTGATCGCATTAACTTGCGAAAATGAGAAGCGACGAAGGGAGGATTAATTAGCTAAGCACACTAACCTGGAATATCGATGCTCCATAAGGCGTACGCCACGCATTCAGTATATTATCTTTCCCGGTGGAAACGAACCATTTACCGCTGGAAGCGAACCTCAAGGACAGCACACAGGATTCATGAAGATGCAGTTGGTACTTGTCCGTTTTCGTGGCGTGCAATACTTCGACAGTCGAGTTCTCCATACCGACCGCTAACCACTCGCCGGTAGGACAATAGCCGAGAGAAAATATTTGTGACGTGAAGTCGTGCTGTTGCAATTGTCTGCCCTCGCGAAGATCCCACGAACGAACAGTGTTATCCAAACCTCCAGTCCACAGTTTTGAACCGTCTGCTGATATATCGATACATGAGGCACCATCCGTGTGACCCTGGAATTGTCTAACAAGGGCTTGATTTTGTAAGTCCCATACAGCGATATTGCCGTCGCTGCAACAGCTAAAGCAGACTTTAGAGTCAGGCGAGATCGCTAAAGCGTAACACGCCGGTGCAGACGAGGTCAATTCAGCCTTGATTCTCGGTGTGGGACTCGCCAAATCCCAAATGCTCAGCTGACTGGCCTCCCCGCCAACTATTAAAGTTCTGCCGTCCGGAAGTAACTTCACTGATCTGTGTTGAGAAAAAAAAAACGCGAAGCGACAGTTTTAGCACAGGAGCGTAATGAGAGCGTAAGCGCGCTTCATGCATTAATTTCGATCGCTCTCTTACTAACCTGATATAATTATCTCGCTGAAGACAGTCAAGTTGCGAGACTGGTTTGACGGAACTAATACCCGGGCTGGCTAATATCCCATACCTTTACGCAGCCTTTGCCGCCGGTGTAAACGTACTTGGTCGGATTAGAGATCGTTACGGCGCACACCACCTCGCCGTGATTCAGAGTATTAATCTGACGCGCGAGATTCGGTATACCCGAGCCGGCAAGAGCGTCCTGCGGGAACGGTACTAGTTGTGCCTGGCCGTCGCCCGAGACGTGGTAGCTGTACGCACTGCGAAATGCCGTTCCGTTGAATGATTACAACAAATTTCTCACAGTTTCCATCAATGTTAATTATATGCGATATCGCGAGTTTAGTCGTAAACCAAATTCACATTAATCGATTAAGTTGACTTGCAATTTAAAGGAAATTAGTATCTCCTCAATTAATTTGATCTTATTTTTTCATTATAAGAGTCACGTTAGTTCCACGAAGTTGAAAAACATAAATTTCTATTCGACTCACGCCTTGTTCATTTCTTGCTAGAATCTGAAATATTAAGATGGACTTGGTTACTCACGGTTTGCCTCCAGGTATTGCGATAGATCCCACGGGGGCTCTCATAGCCGAGTGAGGATCGTATATCTGCTGTAGCGAGGCGGGCGGTCTCGGCGTCGCGTAACCGTTATAGGCCATCATGTCGACGTGCGGATGCTGACCAGCGGCCGCCGCGAGATTATGCGGTGGACCGGGCGCATAATGCATCGAACCGGGATAGGTGACTGGTGGTGGCGGTATAGCGCCAGGCGGTACTGATGGGCCTTGCAGCAATTTACTCGGGGTTGACGACTTTATACTGTTGCTGATCACCACCGCGGCTCCCGAGGTCGGCGTAAGCGGCTTCGATATCGGTGTCGCCGGCTTCTCGCGGTCCTCCACTTTCTTGGCCGAGGGCGTGCTAGCGTTGCTACTCGTGCCACTTCTGGGCGAGTGCGGTGGCGCTAACACATCCTTCTTCGCTACATTTTGTATGCCGGAAGAACCCAGTGACGGCACCACAACCGAGGAAATCTTATCGATGCCGTTTTCGCGCGGTGACGTAGCACCATTCACCACTGGACTCCCAGGACCATCACTTGCATCATCTACGATTAGATCTTGGTCGCTCTTCTCGCCGTCGCTCTGCGAAAGAATGATCGCGCGCGATTAAATGTATTTCTCAAGGCAACCATTTTTTTTTCTTATTAGAGTAACATTATGTAGTGATGGACTGCCATATTAATGTTTTCAAGGAATATTGTTCAAGGAAAACCGGTTAAAAGTTTTTATGATAATTTTAAAGGAACGTCGTGAACGAAACAAAATAAATTTGAAGAAAAAGAAAAATTTCAAATTCCTTTCAACAAAAAAGTTAACAAAGTTAACAGTTAAATGTAATGTATTTGAATAACAATTCCACAGATCGATATTGCGTCTTCAAGATTATAGTTATTGATCGCTAAATATTGGCTACCATCCATTTACAACGACAATAAAGATTGAACAGTGTTCCGAGAATAGCTAATAATTGCACGGTTTATCGTACGGACTTGGCTTTGTCACGATTCTTAAAGTACGAACGAGTTAATCTTTTTTTATTAAGCACTTACGTGTACGACGTCCTTATCGTGATCCTTCTTCATCTTCTTTATCGTGTGCATCGAGTGATCGTGGTGATTTTGCGAGTGATGAGCGTGAGTGATCTCCTGCGGTGTCCGTGATCGACTGTACTTGTCAGCGGGCGATATCGAGCTTCTCTGTAAAACGCACAGAGGTAACGATGCTTTTATCTTACGCAAAAGCGCAGCGGTATGTTCCGCCGTTTACGATTGCCAGGAAAGCATCGGAGCATCGAAGTCGCGAAGTGGATTCCCGATATTCCCTTACAACGTTCGATAGAAAAACTTAGAAGAGAGAAACTTTAAGAGGCAGATTCGTGTTCGCAATACGCGATAAGCTGTATATAGTAAATCGATTTGCGATATGGAACCGAAGACGCATCGCTCAAACGAAATACGGGCCTCTCTCGCCCCCTCCCCACTAATCCCGCGGATCTTGTTAATCTCGTTTAACAACAGACACCACGTGGGGCAAGTACAGGCGGGAACAACGGATTAGCTACATATTCCCTGTTGGCGCCGACGAACGTGACAAAACCGTAATTACCCGCGTCGACGCGGGTTATTATCAATCGTCACGCGAACGCCCCGACGATAATCGATTTCGACTTTACCCTACCGCCCGCCCGCCCGCCCCCGGATACATCCACTCGTTGTGTAACGTATTAAAATGTAACTTCCAGCGGCATTGCGTCGTGTCGATTTTTCACCTATGACGCGCTTCAATGAAATATCAATTTAGGCAGGCGTATGGAAAGCGCGAAGCACGAACGCGCGATAATATCCACGGCCGATGGCCGTATTCCGCAAGATTCGCACGGGATCTAATATTGGCGCGCGTCTCGGCGATAAATTCCCGCAAATTTCTACACGCAGGGGGAAAAGTTGGCGTCTTGTCGCGCGGGCCTGCTCATCGGTCAATTCGTAATGGAGCGTAATGGAATTCGGGAACGGAGGCGAGAGAGTGTGTGCAAACGAACGAGGAGACGGTCGAAAGGAGGAAAAGACGGAAAGAACGAGGCGCGCAGCACACGCGGACCGGCTGCGAAAGCCGATAATGATTATAGAGTGTGCACACCGGCGTGACGCGACGAAGCGCCGGAGGGGGATGAAGAAAAGCAGCGAGAAGAGCTAGGAAGGGGAGAAAAAGAGGCACGATCGTGCGGTGCGAGAGGGCGGACGGCCCCAAGGAAAGTGGTGCCCCGGCGTCGGCACGGACGGAACGGGCGCGAGGAGAGAAGAAAATAGAATGGCGAGAGGCGGAATGAGAGGGCGTCGATGGGCGTTTCGCGGCCCCGCGATGATTACAGGCTCGGCAAACCCGTAATACAAGATATACCCTTTCCTCTCCCCCCCCCCTCAACGTTATTCTTTCTCGCCTTCTTTCGTCTCGACCACGACACGGCGAGACTCGCCGATTTTGCCGATGTAGACGCGCGACGTCTCTCCACGATAGGAAAGGATGCGTTCCATTTTTAGAAGTTTAAAAAACTGTTAGATTAACCGACCGCTTGACCGCTTGTACGTGACGAACCTCATTGTGTTGCCGCGATTTTTGCGGCAATTAACCGTCTCGCACGCTTGGATTTCAAAGTAAAAATTACAAGTGTGCAGAATTTAAATGTGATTAAAGAAAAGGAAACACGGGAGTTGCTTCAAGTTATGCAAATAGCTCGGTGGAAAAAAATGATGCCACCTCTTTTTCCTATTCACGCCACTTTACGCCTCTCCTCGCGCCTACAGGCCATACGCGCGTCGGTCGAAAGTATAAAATGCAATCTACAGCACGCACTCGTACGCGAAGTACGCTGAAGCAGCGCTCGTTGTACTCTTGACGCGCGCGCGAGTCAAGTTACACGCGCGTAATGTGCGTGTAATACACGAGGCCGCAATAAGTGTCATTCGGTCGAGTGTACGTTGTACAAGCCGTACGCGTTTCACATATATACACCGTATAACAAAATATATGTCACTTCTACAATGCGCAGCAAACAATCTTTGTAAAACGTTTCATTAACTTTTGCAAAACCGAAGAGACTCTATTATGTTTCTGAATCGTTTATTTTGCAAAATGTAACTTTTATTGTCCAGACTAATATTTGTTCTGCAATAGCAATGCATGAATGAAAACATTAATTTATGTTTGATAAGTTATAATTAGGATTTTTAATTTGAAAAGTTGGTTAAATCGTATGTCATATCGATTGAATAATTTTCTATACTTTAATAACATCGCTGAAACATCGAGACGCCAATGTAACCAATCTAACGATCGTTTGCGTTGCTAAAATGAGAATTGTCCGCGATCTCATTGAGATTCATAACATTTCAACATTGCAAGTTAAACAAACCATCGTAGATAAACGAGGAAAAAATGTTACTTACATGTCTCTCCTCCGTCGAGCTCAGACCTGAAAGCAAACAAATGTGCATGCGATAATGTCAGCTGTAAATCTGAAGACCGAGAGAACGGTGTCTAAGAATATTTCTACATTATTTACTAGACTACCGGACGGCTTCATTGCACACTTAAATATTTTAATTTTATAAGTCAACGATCCGGTGTGTTATATAAACGTATACCTTCGTCGATAAGATGCGAGGAGAAATCGCGCGGGAGCGATCGAATATCGAGTAGTATTGCGCATCGATAAAATGTTAATAACGCGCCGCGTCGTAAAACGACGGGCAGTAGCCATCGTTGAGAACGAGGGGCGGAGGGGGGTCGCCCGGGTGGCGCCCATATAAATGATCTTCATGCATATTTATATGCGCGCTTTTCGCTAAAAACCGCCGCTAGCGCGTCCGCTAACAGGGTGACACAAACACGTTCGCTCCGCCGAAAGCGGATACCCGTAATAAAGCGCTTTGAACATTTCCCGACCGAGGTGAGAGACACAGAGAGAAAGTGTGAGAGGAAGACAGAGAGAGAGAGAGAGAGAGAGAGAGAGAGAGGTAGGAGCCGTCGAGAGTATATATGTTACACCCTCGCGCCGATCTCCGCTAACTCTGTAACGGCAGGCAGCGTTCGCTCTCGCGCGCGGGGTATACGTTAAATCGAACGTGACCAGCGGTCGAAATTTCGCCCTTCGTTAGTTTTCCCCTTTTCCCGTTCACCGCGTTGAACAATAATCACGTCGATCGCGTCAGTCGCGAAAAACAAAAATATATAAGCCGGAGTTTGGCTAACGCGCCGTTCCCAATTAAACAAAATTAACGCGACGCGCTGTCTTTCGAACTGCAAAGTGCTGAATAATATAAAATAATGTGTCAGTGAATAATTGTATAACGATCAAATTTTATCAAGAGAAAAATTAATTTCTATATATCCTAAATGTTTATCGGCGAATACGGCGACTGAAAGACTAGATTGCCGGACACTGGGTATAGAATCACACGTCACCGCATGTCAAAGCTAGACATTGCCAGATATAGCCGACTTACCGCCGTTGCTCTTGAGATCGTCCGGTTGACCGCGATGGATATCCGCCTTGCCGAGCATCGACAGAGAATGCGCGGCGGTGGTCGTGCAGGGGGTCGCGGCAGCCGCCCCGGGCGTCAGTCCGAGACCGAGCAAAGCCGCGGACGCGGAAGTCGGCACCGGAAGCCCGGGAGGGGCAGCTGGCCCCAATCCGGGAAGTCCAGGTAAACCCGGATGAGCAGCTATCGCTCCCGGCGGTATTTGCTGAGCGTGCATTTGCTGAAGGATCCGCGGTATGTCCCTCTGTTGCTGTAACCGCGTATGCAAAATAGGGTCCATATAAATCGATCGTCTATCATGTGTACGTGTGTGTGTGATTTCATGGTGTACGAAAAGATTTACAAGGCCGATTAACAATAACGATGAATTGCCTTTGACTGTATAGCGGGAAAAACTTGTTATGTAAATTATTTAAAATAAAATAGAAAAAGCGTAGTTGGAAATATAGTTGCTAAAATATTTGATATCGCAAGTTTGGATAATGTTAAAAAATATATCGCTTCGTGAAATACTCGCGAAAAATATGTACGCTGCTGCTGATCGCGGAATTGAAAAATCGTCCAACCCTCGCGGACGCGATACACATCGAAAATCGCGGCGTTCGTCCCCGGCGTGAAACGAAACGTAATAGTCCCAAACGAGGTTTAACGCGCCGTGAATAATACGCGCAACGTGTTAGCGGGGGAAGGGGGGGGGCTGGAGGAAACAGCGGGACGAGAGAAGGATCGGAACCCCGCCACCATCATCGCTTTTCGCCCGAGGTGAGCGGGAGGAAGATGAAATAGGGACGGGGGGAAATCGGGGTAGGAGGACTATACGTTCCTCGCGCAGTGTTATTAAACGAAATATTGATTCAACCTCTGTTTACCGAATAATACATATTCATGAGGGTTAGCGCTTCTGTCTATTTGCCTTCATCCTCCCTTCGGCCTGCGCCGCACCCTTTCCCTCCGCACGTTTTGTGTGCATCACTCCCGCCACCCCGTACTTTCCCCATCGTACGCGATCCCTTCGTCAGGAACCCCTCTCGACAGGCTGTAGCACACTAGCACGCTAATTATATTCCGCGTAACAGCGACGCGCGTCGCGTAATGACAGATTGGCGAGATTGCGGTTCGTGTCGCAATGACCTTGCCCGAGCGATCGTGTTTTTTGCGCTTTCACCGTCATAAAGTCTCGATTAGGTGTATCCGCAAATAAAATTAAGCGAACGTTTTAATTTAGATCGAAGAATACGCTTGACAAAGTATGAATTGCGAAAGATATAGCACAGCTCATAAATACAACAGAGAAATGTTGAAATAACTTTTTTTTACTTGTCTGTGATTCAATAATTCAACATAATTGTTTGGGGCTTAACGAGAATTTTGTTTATACATTAGTTCTCTTGCGCGTTGATTCAAGTTTAAACGATAAGCTTCTTTCAACGCGCAAAGCCGTACGTTTGTTCCGCTGGTAGTATCCACAAGGCTGAGAAATTATTCGAGTCATGCACGCGAGAATCAACTGGGAACTCAATTATACGCGACGCGGCTGTCGAATGCCAATCTCGCGTTTCGACCGCGCGCGCAATTGTGCTTATCGCCGCATGTGAATACATAGCCATAGGTACGAAATAAAGAAAGGAACCTGGGAATCGGAAATAACAAGTACAAAAATAGTAACCGAAAGAGAAGAATGCACATTTCCATCCCTTCGCAATGGAAGGTTGAAAAATTCGCGAATAATTTGGCCAATTTTGTGTGTATGTGTCGTTGTGTCACATTCGTGTAGATACTTACAATTATGGTGTTTAATTCAGGCACCGTAATATTCTTCGCCCTGTCAACCGCAGAGTGGACTTGTTGTTGATGGTCTTGAGAAAGATACGGCAAAATTTGGCCGATAATAACATTCATTCTCTTTATTATCTCCGTCTGCAAGAGCAAAAAATATCCATCATATGCGAAATATGATAGAAAATAAAATGGAAAATAATTACAATAATATATTGAGAATGTATATGCAAATACAATCTGATATATGTTTAATATAAAATAGCAATAATAAACAATTTGATATTTATTACGAGATACGTCGCCAATTTTACAAATTAACAAAAATCAAAATTCGTGCAGAGACTTTATCCGACAACATTCCGAATCTATAAAGGGATCCTTCGCATATTTTCGATATCGCAAATGTGTTCAGCCGATGGCTCGACAAGCGGATTAGAATTCTCGGAAGCGAGATAGAATGTTGAAGGCATCGGCGCGCGAGTAGTAGTTCGGGTCCAGCCTCGGTCCCAACATCTTCCCGGCGATGTCTCTCAACGGACGGAGAAACGTGTCTCGAGTGAGTAATGAAAGCGCGAGTTAGACGGCGGCAGCCCGATGCTTCGTCGTCTTAAACGCGCGAGTAACGAGCGAGGCTTGGCTACATATCTCTAACCATGCGATGCGCTGTCAACAGGGCGTTCCTCTATTTTCGTCGCGTCCGCGCGCGGTCTATGGTCGGATAATCCCACAGTGTGTATATACATTCCGTCCAACATTCCGAGAATAAAGCACTCGCGAGCGGCGCGAACGTAAGATATACGAATAATGAGACGTATTTACGGGGCTTTAAGCCCTCTCTCTCGCCGACGCAACGATTCGAGTCCGCCTTTCGTGCGAATTTCGAGACGGCATTTCGCCGTTATTCGAACCTAGCCCAACATCTAACAGCTTTTGTCAGCCATTAGATCGTAGAGATAGATTAGATAGATAAATAAGTTTACTTTTTTTCTAGAATCTCTTAAACCACACAGAGAAAAATTACAGAGTCTTCTTATCGATAAGATAAATAATCGAAAGTGTATACAAGATTTATAAATAACATATATCACAATGAATAAAACCTACAACTAGAAAGTAGAAGTAAAATATTTCTACAAGATAATAAATATAAAATGTAATGAAAAGCAAATAATGAAATCGATATGTAAAAGCAAATAACGAAATAAAGAAAATGATAATCATAGTGTCAGCAATACGTGTTAATAACAAATAGAAAATAAAATTCAGGAAAAAGAGAAGTCAAATTTTTGTTAACAATTAGCTAAAAAATTGTTTCAGACTCACGTGTTTTTGCACTTCTACACTTAGGCCGTAGGACATCTCGTAATACTGCAAAAAAAAATGTCTTATGATATATTTTATTAATCAATTCGATATAATTGACATATCTCTTAGAAATAGGGAAAATTCTTCGAGATGAGCAATTCCGTCATAAACCGAAGATTTTTCGCGAGTCGTCCAACGATCGATTTAAGCGGCGTACAGGGCTGCGTTTCAGCCGTTACGCCAACGTGTTATTAATTATCGTTAATCGCGATAACGCACTCGGGTCCATCGGTCGAGTGTGCTTGAGAGAAACCGGCCGTTGCAGTTGCAGTTGCGGAGAGAGAACGCGCGCGCGTGAGAAATGCGAGACGGGGAGGCGAGCCCGCGTGTAAACGCGCGCCAGGCGGGTTACAGGTTCTTAATTTTACGGACCATTAGCCCGGTAATTACACGGGCGAATTAATTGCACCGTAAGTAAGTTATTTCACCCGGGAGATAGACACAGCGAGAAGTAGACGGCGGCGGCGGAGGAGATAGGGATGAGGTAGGGTGCTGGAAACGAGTACCGGGGGGGATGGAGTGCACGCTAACGCGGGTTGTTGAGATCAGTTGGTTGCAGCAGCGGCAACAGCATCGGACCAATGGCACACTCTTTCCCCGGGGGCAATAGCGTTCGTTACGGCGGCGATGCAACGTCCTTAACGCGCGTTAACGAGGCCAGTGCGGCGCGGCGAAGAGAGAAAGAGAGCAAGAGAGAGAGAAAGGCACTCGTATCAAATGGACTAAGCAGAGATTAATTGCGTTTAAACTCTCCACGCCGATTAGGTCGACGCGAACGCGGCGCGCAGCCACCGGCGAATTAAAACGGTAACGATAAATCGACGCTACGGGCGTAAAACTCCAACATCGCGTTTTCGATTTAATTACCGCGTCGTTCGGTCGGCGCTCAATAAAGAGATAAATAAACGGCTAACAACGTGGATGCGGACGTTGTCAGGCGTCGCCGCGCGATTTCGAAATTGTTGCCAATTCGCAAATGCGGCGGAGAAAATTTTAAGCCCGTTCTTTTTAATGCACTTTGGCATTATCTTTAATTGTTCTCTCAATTCCGTCACAAAATAAATTCAAGCTCCTTTGCAGAGCGAGGAAGCTATTTTTCTCTTTCTCCGTCTCGCGGGACCCGCAAGTCCATAAATAACTCTCCGTCGCGGTGTGCTCGTTTTTTTTTGTTTTTTTTTTCCTTTTTAGTTGTCGCGCCGTGGGAGAGCGCGACGGTGGACCGATCGCGGGATGCGGGAAGGCAGAGGTGAGGCGAGGAGACGCTCGAATATTAACGAGCTGTGGACCGCTGTCGCCGCTGCCGCGACCTAACAGCGTATTACTTCGTCATTAAATGTGCGAGACAGCTGCGCGCGCGCGTGTTGTAGACTAATTCGATGAGAGCCACTGGCTCTTAGAGTCATTAGCTATGCACAGTAGGTGCGCACGAGCGCATACATAGATATATATATATATATATATATATATATATATAGATGTATATATAGATATATACATCTATAGTATACCCGACTATGCTACGGCGCGACGTAACGAGCCAATGTAAAGCCCGGCCCGGCCCCGGCTTGGAGGATGCAATTAATG